GCGGAAGGAGACCGGCGGGAGGAGAAATAAATAAAATTAAAATTAAAAAAGTCATTTTCCTAATTTTACTTTTTCACTTGGTTATTTCAACTAAATTCTCTGATTTTGGTAAATAAAAGATCTACTATTTACTATTTAAGTGTGGGTAAATCCTTTACTTACCATCTAATGGTTATAGTTTATGCGATAAATAATGAATTTATTCAGTAAATTTTTATTTAGAGGCTGTTTAATTTGGGGATTCGTCTCCTGACTCGAATCATAATTCGTGATTCGCTACAGTATTTTCTCTCACAAAAAATGTACGTAAATCGAAAATGGTTCTAATCCATGAACCAAACGTCTCCTTACTAGCCAATAGGGATATTCTTGCAAAGATTTTTCTTAAAAAAAAAAAATTTGCATCAAATTGTAATTTTTAAAAATTTAAGGGTCAAATGATAGTTTTTTTTAGAATAATGGGCTGAATTTTAGTTAATTATATTTCGCCCTTCTAAATTTTTGAAAAATAAATCTATAATTTTGATAATTTTCTGATATTCTTGACATTTATAGTGATAAATACACATTTATCAAAATTATATTATTTACAACTCTTTAAACTTTACATTATTTATTTTTATTAAAACCTAAATTATGTTATTTCACTCTTTCTCCCGCAATAAGTATTGGGAGGGGTTGCAATTCGTGTTGGCGGGTCGTGTTCGTATCGTGTTGACCCTCTCAGTTGACACGAATATGCCTGACACGAACATGACCCGTTTATTAATCGTGTCGAAATACAAAACCCAAACATGGCCTGTATATTAGCGGGTTGACACGATTTATTAAACAAGTCATAAACGTGTCGTGTTAACCCGTTGATTATCTGTCAACCCGTTTATAAAATAGGTCATAAATGGGTCGTGTTAACCTATTTTTGAACATGTTTATAAAATAGGTGATAAATGGGTCGTGTTAACCTATTTCTAAACCTGTTTATAAAATGAGTAATAAACGGGTAATAAACGGGTTTTGTATTCGTATTATCTAAATATGACACGTTTAATAAACGGGTTATGGCAGGTCAATTGCGGATTGGCGGGTCAACCTAAAAATGACACGTTATTTAATCGTATTTCATGAGTTCGACCTAATTTTAATCCGGACCTATTTATGATAAATCTAAACTCATTAATTTTTTACGAATTTTATTTAATAAACGGGTTATGGCAGGTCAATTGCGGATTGGCGGGTCAACCTGAAAATGACACGTTATTTAATCGTATTTCATGAGTTCGACCTGATTTTAATCCGGACCTATTTATGATAAATCCAAACTCATTAATTTTTTACGGATTTCGAATCGTGTCGTCGCATCACTATCCGGATTGTGAGCCCTCAGACTAAGCCCACCCTAGGTATATAGCAACTCTCATCAATCACGCTTCTTTCTCTAATTTGCATTTTAGTCATCAAAAGCAAGCTTAATTCGTAAAGTTGTCGATAAGGCCAGTCTTTTTATGGAGATAACCTTCAGCAATTGGTAATTACCCTTTATCCACCACAATACCCAATTCTCACAGGTGAGTTGCAATTCTTCTCCATTTCTTTTGCCTTTTCTAATTCTCGGTTTATGAATTTTTTTTATTAATTAAATCTGTTTCTTTAGCATTTCCTGGCAAATTTCTTGCGTTGTTGATTCAATCAAGAATCTCGATCTATATTGTCTACTTTATTGGGGGGTTTTAATTGATTAATTTGATTAAGCGCTTTCTTTGGTTTAGTCTGAATCATTAAAATTGAAATTCAGAATGAAAATTGATGGGTTTTTCACAGCTTGGTCTAAATTAGATTTTGGAACCTCTTGGCTGGTGAATTGTGTTCTGGGTTTTTCCGTGAGAGTTTTTTTGATAGTGAAAATGGTCTTTTTGGTGAATAGATTGAATGTAAAAGATAAATACTCATCCTGTTTGAAATTCAGAATGTAAATGAGAAATGTGAAGCTTGGGTGCCATTGCCAAGAGGTTTCTTATGAGTTTTGTTCATAAACGTTATATCAAGGTGAAAACGTGATCTCATAACGATCAAATATGATCATCTTTTATATTTAGAGGTAATGAAAAAAAGCATTTATAAAAGATTCTTCATGAAAAAATAATTATGGATTGTGGACATTTGCATATAAATAAAAAAAATAAAAAAAATAAACACTGACGGATTGTTGGGAAAAACTAACAATGCTGACATTGAATTTGCATATTGAAAAGAGTTCTTGTTCCCGGAATTCTCTGATATAAAGCAACAGCTGAGAGCAGCACCCCAAATCTTTTGTGTGGAATTTTTCAGGTCTTAAACCCTAGCTAGTATTTCAATGGAAGACCAAGATAGTGCATCAGATGGGATGAACCAAATGGAACCAACTCAACAGTCCCTTATTTGCGGGCTTCCAGATGACATTGCTCTTCTATGTCTTGCTCGAGTTCCCCGAAAGTACCATAGAATCCTAAAATGTGTTTCAAGAAGATGTAGAGATTTAGTATGCAGTGAAGAGTGGTATTCTTACCGTCGAAAGCAAAAGCTTGATGAAACTTGGATATATGCTTTGTGCCGAGACAAGTTAGAGCAATTTTGCTGTTATGTTTTGGATCCCAGTTCACCTCGGAGGTGTTGGATGCCAATTGAAGGGCTTCCACCTCGTAGCTTGAAGAGAAAAGGCATGTGCATAGAAGTGTTGGGAAAGAAAATTTACTTGTTGGGTGGTTGTGGTTGGTTTGAAGATGCTACAGATGAAGTTTACGCCTATGATGCTTCAGCGAACGCTTGGTCTGAAGATGCTCCCTTGTCAACTGCAAGGTATTGTTGTCTGCTTGTGTTTTTTGCAAGCTTTAAAGATTATTTCCATACGCTTTATGATGAATGATAATGAAAGCTCTTTGATGAATACATGTCAAAAACACGAGTTCATTTTACAGCTATTTAGTATCATTCAGTTTCATCATATTGTCTATCTCTTTCATTCATTAAGAAGAGGTGTTCGACTTCGCAATTATGGCTTTTACATTTGTGTTTTTCTTTGCAGGTGCTATTTTGCTTGTGAGGTTTTAAATGGAAAAATATATGCCATTGGTGGATTAAGTTCAAAATCAAGTGATTCACATTCTTGGGATACTTATGACCCCTACGCAAGCACTTGGACATCTCATTCAGATCTGAACATTGTCCCTGAAATCGAAGATTCTTTTGTCATGGATGGGAAAATTTATATCCGATGCTGTACCTCACCCGTAACATCTCATGTGTATGCAGTGGTTTATGAACCATCAAGTGGCATATGGCAGCATGCAGACGCTGATATGGTGTCAGGTTGGAGAGGTCCGGCAGTCGTAGTTGATGGGACGCTTTATGTGTTGGATCAGAGTTCGGGAACGAGGCTTATGATGTGGAAGAAAGAGACTAGGGAGTGGGTGCCAGTCGGGAGGCTGTCACCCTTGCTTACCAGACCACCCTGCCGGCTTGTGGCTGTTGGGACGAGCATATTTGTCATAGGAAAAGGGCTGAGCACTGTTATGCTTGATGTCGGCAAAGCAGGAAATGTGGAAGGGGCAATGGTGAGTTCCTCCATACCCAATTTAAGTTCAGATGATGATGTAATTAGCTGTAAATGTCTAACAATTTGAAATTCTATTTGTATTCTTATATGCTTCTGGTCTGACTAATGTCTGATTGAAATGTCATTGTTGATATACTCGTACATTATACATATAAACATTTGAAATTTGTACCTTACATCGAATATTTATTTGTTGTGAAAAATATGCTGTACCGTTTTAGTTTTTACCTATGTTCATTTTGGGTTCAGTTACTAGAAGGAATGAAATAACCGATGTGATTGCTAAAGGATTATTTTGGTCATGACCTGTAATCCATCGCCGCACCATTTGGCTAAATGCATTTTATTTTGCTACAATATTTTTTCTAAAAAGAAATTCAAATTTAACTTTTTTGTTAAAGTGTTTTCTTTAACATAAATTTATTTTTTAACTCAAGTTCAAAACTCGAACTAGCGAAATGAACGGGATTGTACTTTTGTTTCCATGCACTCTGATTCACAAGCTTGGCTTTTAACCACATACTGTTCTTAGCTAACCAGACGAAGAATGGAAAATTGCCAATCGGTTTACCCTTTTTTGCGTGCGTGACCTAAATTGGTGACTCCCAACAATCTCTAGATATTTAAACATGTATTAAGGCATAGTGAGTGCTAGTTGAGCTTCTTGTGGACGTCAATCTTTATATGCTGAAGAATCAACATTATCACAAACAGAATCTGCTGCAATAACGTAAAATTGTGTTCTTCACTTCCATAGATCAATTCCAGAAAAAATGGCACGTCTTTTAACTTTAATTGTACATTGCATACAGCTCAATCCAAGGATTTTAGCTGAAAAAATGAAAACCGCTTGATACAAAGAAAACGAGGTGAAGATAAGCTACCTGGTATGACAAATGAAAAATAATCATGTCATCCTACTATGATACACGCCAAAAGCAATGGTTTCTATTTTTTTATTATTATTATTTTCCCTTGATTCCAATATAATGAGAACTCTGGAATCAAATATCAAATGACAACTCCAATTGGTGTTTTCCTTTCCAAATGCTGAAGCATGGCTTTCATTATAGGAACCGGAGTTCATCAATCATTCTAACAAGTAACACCTATGTCATTCCTCATCCAATTAACAGCTGATGCAACACCAATTAACGGTGATAAAGTAGGTCAGCTAGTCCTTTTTCTTTTAAATGCCGGATGTATGGTTAGGTTTTGAGAATCTAATTTGTCAATCTTCAAAAGACATTCTTGCATCCTCTTCACGACAACAGGCATTGCAGAGGCATTGCTTGAAATTTTATCTTTAAGCAATTGTATTTTCTCAAGAGTCCCTTGAGCCCCATTTGCTGGCACGTTGGAAGTAACGTTTCCTGCATCTGTACAGCGCAAACATATTCAGTGCGTCTGGCACGCAACAAGACCATAAAACCAAAGTTTTTGGAGGAAAAGTAGGCATAAGTAAAAGCAAACACATGAAGGAATGAGTTCAACACAAACTAATTAGAGAGAAAAACAGGGGGGCCAAATAGAGACCACTATTTTATAGGAAATTTGGCACACATAATTAAGGAGATTTGGTTCTTCCAATTAAACAAACAGTTATTATTGCCATTATGTCTTCACCATAAAACCAAAGTTTTTGGAGGAAAAGTAGGCATAAGTAAAAGCAAACACAAGAAGGAATGAGTTCAACACAAACTAATTAGAGAGAAAAACAGGGGGGCCAAATAGAGACCACTATTTTATAGGAAATTTGACACACATAATTAAGGAGATTTGGTTCTTCCAATTAAACAAACAGTTATTATTGCCATTATGTCTTCACCGATAGACATGTGAACTTAAACGTGTTGCCCCTTTCCCTGCTGTACCACATCCACTGTCATATAAACTTATAAACTATTCATATAATCATAATCTTCGAAATGTGAGCACAACTGCTTCTGTCTTATGATCAAGCCTACAAGGGTCTTAGCTATAGAAAATATGGATTCACTAGCAGCTGAAATATTATTACCCTTTGCAAAAAACGTCCAGAAAGGGAGGTATCATTTAAAGTCTATTGTAATTAAGTACCAAGTGTGAAAGTTTCAGAACTGATGATCACAAACAGATAGTGGACCTGTATCTGGATCTCCTTTCCAAATAACCTTCATTTATGGTAACAACTAACAAACTTAGGCAAAGGCCTAACCAACCACGGGTTAATAATATATTATGTTTTGAAGTTGAACATAAACTGAGGTCACTAATGGATCTACCTAACTTAATACGACGAAGCTAGAATGCAACTAAGCTTTACGAATGATGAGGGAGGTATCATTTAAAGTCTATTGTAATTAAGTACCAAGTGTGAAAGTTTCAGAACTGATGATCACAAACAGATAGTGGACCTGTATCTGGATCTCCTTTCCAAATAACCTTCATTTATGGTAACAACTAACAAACTTAGGCAAAGGCCTAACCAACCACGGGTAAATAATATATTATGTTTTGCAGTTGAACATAAACTGAGGTCACTAATGGATCTACCTAACTTAATACGACGAAGCTAGAATGCAACTAAGCTTTACGAATGATAAATGGGTTGAGATAAGCCAAATGTCAAGATCGTTTACTTTCATTATGAAACTAACTTGTAAAGATTGTTTATGGCTGAAACGCAAAATTCAAGCAACCCAGTTGTATTTAAGTATCAGAAACATGAGCTTAATGGAAACAATCAATGTCCTTACTCCTTAGCATCTACGATAAACGACTTCCGATGTAACCAAACTTTTTACCCACATGGATTATGATTTTAAAAAAAAAAGAAAAAAAGAAAAAAAAAGTTTGCATTCTTTTAGAACTGGAAAAGATTAATCCTCTTCCTTGACCAAAATACCAACAAATTCATCTTTTGACCTCTCAACCCTTGCGAGATCAACTTCCTTACTTTTATGCCATTAACAATCAGAGATATTAATCAACGTGTCTTACCAACTACAACCCACTAGTTTGCAGACCTAAACCCCAAAAAAGACACAGAGTTATAAATTATAACGCACAAAATGAATCTCAAAAACACAATTGTGACCGGCTTATGTTCCACAATCAAATTATACCAACAGAACCTTATAAAAAGAAAATCAAAACAAAAACAAGAGAACACTCCAAAAATTTGAATTTGGGAGAGAATGTACCTGGATTAGAAACTTCTCCGGAGGTCCCAGGCTCTGAAAGATCAGGCAAATAGGGTCTCTGAGCAGCGAGAACCGAAACGAACGTGTTCTTCAGCTTTTCCGGCAAGGCGGCTCTGTAATGAAGAATCTTCTCCGCCAATTCTTTCACTTCCGACTCCAGCTTCTCCAAATCTTCCGGTTCGACGTCGGTCGGCGTCTCCGGGACTTCAAGGGGTTCGCTCGACTCCATGGCTGAAGAATTCGGAACCCAGGCGCAGAGAAAGAAAGAGAGAGAGGAGTTGCGAGAATTCTGAGTTGCAGGATTTTGGAAGGGAATTGGAATTTTTGACGTTAGGGTTTTTCAAACTTTTAAATTTTGAAATTTGGGGATTTTCATTTTGTAACGAGTCTTGTTATTTAAGACTTGGTGGATGTCAATGATAAGGACTCTATCAGGGCCCACGCTGGGTAGGAAGTAACTGAAATAAATGAAGATTTAACTACATATATGTTGTATGTTACAAATTTGCACTTAAAAAAATAACCTGAAATGACATTTTATTAATCACCCATAACTACCCACACAAAAAGGGTATTTTTAGAATAATATTATTTAATAACTATTAAATAGACAAATTGGTAAAGACATATTCTAAACATAGAGTATAAAATGATCATTTTATATAAATACTTCATTCATAAATAAATGAGAAAAAATTAGAATACCACTCAAGATTTTAAAAGATATTATTTATGTTACTACATTAAAAAATAAACAAACTTCATTCAATTAATAAAGAGAAAATAAAAGGCCATTATGACACTCAATCATTTATAATGTCATAAATAATAAGTCCGTACAAAATCACGATAAACTATGTACTTTTCTCTAAATTAAAAAGTTCAAAATATATGAACAAGTTTTCTGTGTGTTTGTTTCATACGGTTCATACCTTTTTGTTACATTACTTTGTCTTATAAAATTTAAATTTCTGTTCAAATTTTTTTATTCAAACCTATAAATCAAACAAGCCTTATCAATAGATTGATTTTATTGTTCTTAGTAAAACTATTTAATAGTCTAGGTGTACAACATTATTTTGCTTACGTGGTACTAAAAGTGAAAGCTCGAGTTGCTCAGCTTTGCTTGATGGCCCGAATAGGAATTTTGTGCCGGGCTGAGCCGGAATTTATAAGGTATTTAAAAAAAAAGAATTAATTACATATATGTCTATTTTACAATGGTTGAAAAAAAAATGTCAACAAGTTGTTATATTTGTATATAAGTCCGTAAAATAAAACATTTCTATACCTAATTAACTACTTCTTAAAATTATCACAACCACTCAAATAAAAAGGTCATATTTGGAATTATTAACATAAAATAGACAGAATGATAATATTGTTGAATTAAAAGTATTTTCTAAACATGAAAGATAAAAATGATCTTTTTGTGTAAATAATTATAAAAAAAATTTAAAAAAACCTAAAAGACAAGTAAAAAATATGAGAAGACAAGAATAAAAAGACCTTCCTCTTTAAAAATAAAAAAAAACCTTTTTTCATTTTTTTTAAAAAAATGTGTTTTAATCTGCATTTTTTTTTGAGAAATTTTGATTTGCATCTCGAGAACTAAAGAGGGAGAAGGTTTTTCAAAATTTTTTCTCTTTTCTTCTGATTTTTTTTTTTTGTTTTTATGATTTTTGAAAAGAAATAGTTGGTTTATTTACTTTTTGAATTTTTTTTTTGAAGTAAAGTGTTTTTATATATTTTTATTTATTTTTAATGTTTAATCACTTTTTATCGATTTCACTAGAACTTAATATGTCTAATTAATTTTTAATGGTATGTTATATTTGCAAAACTGTTATTTTGTTATATTTTCTATCGATTTGGTGCATTTTATATGTTTTGATAGGTCAGGAGATATTTTAAAATATATAAAAAAAAATCTTTTTACATTGCTTGACTTGCGAGAAACCGCTGGAAAATTGGACAAAAGGGAAATGATTAAGTTGATTTTAAATTATGCATAGGTGAAGAGTACGAAGTTTTTATTTATTTATTTATTTGGTAAAATCCCATAAACAGACGCTCATAAATTCTTGAAGGCTCCGAAATATAATACAAAACTCACATTTTCGATTACATCAAGATAAATCATGAAAACCCCACTTTCTCAATCCTTTCAAAAAGATCATGGTCTTCATTTGGGGTGTTTTTTTTAGCTAGTTTAAGAGATTTTCACTCCTTTTTTCTTACTCATTCTGTTTTCATGAAATTGATTTCATGGAAGATAATAAACCTCTATTTTCCCCTCCTTCTAAGGTGATATTTCTTTCGCTTCTAAAGTTTAGCCTTGAAAATTGCCAAACAGTTTTGTTTTGTTTTTTTTTTTTTCTCCTTGAGTTTTTGAATTTCCCACCAAAGAAAAGAAGCTAAAGTATGATATTGGTTTGCCTTGTGTGACAATAATCAGAAAATGCATTCACAAGCAGAGATCGACTTAGAAGGGCCATATCGCCTTCTGTATTGTTCAAGTAAAGGAGATAAAGCAGGGGTTATACAGGAGTTAGAGAAAGGTGTGGAACCAAATCTTGCTGACTATGACAAGAGAACAGCTCTCCACTTGGCCTCCTGTGAAGGCTGCCTAGAAATCGTTGTTCTGCTTCTCGAGAAAGGCGCCGATGTCAACTCGATCGACCGCTGGGGACGCACTGTGAGTTCCTAATTAGAGGAAAGGATATTCAATTCCTTACTCTCTTGAGCACAAACTTGATTTTGAGAGTTGTGACATGAAGAAGAATTGGTCACTCCTTATTTGTGTGTACAATACCTTTTTTTTTGTGTTTCTACTATAGTTAAGAAGAATTGATATATCATTGTCGTTCCATTGCTAATTTATGATGTTTAATGTTTGGCATTGCACAGCCACTATCAGACGCTCGTAGCTTCGGTCATGATGGGATTTGCAAGATATTGGAGGATCACGGTGGAACAGATCCGGTAATTTTACTTTCAAGTGTAGCTTCTGAAAGAAAGTCTTTATTGCCTATCTAGTTCTGCTTCTATAATTGAAATCGGCTAATAGTATGTCTAAGATTAAAATGCTTATTGTTTGTCAGTTCTCATATTATAGTGCCAATGGAGAATCATTTGATCATACTATTGTGTGATTCACAGATTCTATTCACTACATGTAATGATGAAATGTTTCTTTCTTATGTCAGTTTCACATTTCTAATTTGTATTTTATTGAATTAGGTGGGAGTTGACTCTCACTTTCCTTGCTATGAAATTGATTACAATGAGGTGGACATGATTGAAGCAAAACTTATTGGAGAGGTAATTTCGCAAGCGAAGGAAGCTTGAGCCCATTTTTAATTTAATTAATTTTTCTTTTTGTTGTCGAAAAAAGCTTAAATGTTTCATATACTTGGTGATTGAGATATAGCAGGGAGCCTATGGTGAAATTTATTTGGTAAATTGGCGTGGTACAGAAGTCGCTGCAAAGACAATTCGTCCCTCTTTCGCATCAAATCCTAGAGTAAAGTAAGTTTATTCATCTGAAGATATTTCATAAAATCCTAATCCTTAAGTAAAGTAAGTTTCTTATCCGTGATATTTCGTAGTATATATAGTATTAACCTTGTGGAGTTAACAGATATGTCTTTATGTCACGTACTATTATCGATGGAATTTTAAGTTTTAGTAGTTCGATAAAGATAGAATTTGAATTCTATGATTTTCAAGGATTTCAAATGCATTTAATTTAATCTTCTTAATTAGTAGGTAACAGGTATGGTGTATTAAGTGTTAAAATTTTTGTTTATGTTTCTTGCTACTTACCAAAAGAAAATGCTACAATCTAAATTTGTTAACTACAGAGATACTTTTATGAAAGAACTGGCTTTGTGGCAAAAGTTACGCCACCCTAACATAGTGCAATTCCTTGGTGTTCTAAACAACTCTGACCGATTGATCTTCCTCACTGAGTATCTTTGCAATGTGAGTTTCACTGAATTGATTTATTATAAGAGTATTTTCTTTTTTGTTCAAATTCATAATTATGGTTTTCTATCCTATGTGAATTTGCCAGGGAAGTTTGTATGACATACTAAGAAAGAAAGGAAGACTAGACCAACAAATAGCAGTTTCTTATGCTTTAGATATTGCCAGGTTCCCTTCTACTTTTTTGTACTATGCTTCTTATTCATTGACTTTGTACTAAGCCACAAAAGTTTATACAATATACAAGTAAGTACACACAAAATTTGATACAGAAACTGCAATTTCTTGTGCCTTTTAGACATTGCCACGTTTCCCTCTAGTCGTATATACACAGATTTGTTCTATAATGGCATGTTTACTTCACATGAATTCATGTGAAAAGGAAAAGGAAAGTGTTTCCCTTTTCTATTTAATCATGTGTTTACTTATAAAATCAAGAATAGTAATTTGATGGGGCCCACACAATATAAGGAACGAGAAAGGAAATGTCAATCCTAGCACCACCATGATATTAGCTCCCGGTTAATGGGAATGAATGACATATTATAAGCCAATGATTGCTTCACTATGCAAAAGTATATCTTAATAATTATACTAACAAGAATTATGTTACGTAATTTTCGCAAACGCAAGTGCACGTTATCGTATCAAGTAGTAAAGTTCGTAGAAACGAGTATCGTCCCACGAGGACTGAAAAATATTAATTACCGAAATTGTATCAATACTAACTTTATTTGAACGAAATAAGCAAGTGAGAATTTTTATATAAATAACACTAAACAATCTAATTAACAATTTAAGTAATTATCAAAATTCAATAATAACAAGCTCTAGGGTTTCCGATTTCACCAAATCATTCCGCCTTGAATTATCTATCTAATCAATCTTAAATTATTCCCCTTAATTGACAGTCGAAAATCCCTAAATTAATGCTCCCTTCCGAGTTACATCAAAAATCCCCTTAATTGCTAACCCACTATATTCTAATGTGAATTTCAAACAATTAAAGAGTCATTAAGTTTTATGGATTTCCATGTAGCAACCACACCAACCATGCAAGTATATCCCTATCTTACATGCAATCAATGGAATTCAACACAATGATCGAAAAACATAAATCTCCTTCCGGTTTCATTATGAATTAACTAATCATCCAATTAGTGGCCAATTAATTAGAAGCATTAAGAACAGTGATGAAAACTCAACTAGGATGAATAATTCTTCGATTGATATGATAACATAATTCAAAACATCATGATCCGGCTACATCGTAGCCCTAGAATAGGAAACTTAGAACATAATGAAAAGATAAAACATCTTAACAATATTCTTAAACATGAGAAGAGAAGAAGGAGAAACTATTTTGACGAATTGAAGCAGAATTCCGTTCCCGGTTGATTCGTCTTCTCATCTGCAGTAGAAAAGTTCTCCGTTCTCGTTTCTAAGTCCCAGCCTGACCTAATTGACTCTAAAAATTCCTATTTATAGGTTCGGGGTCGTAATGGCACTTTTGGTAATTATTTAGAGATTAAAACATGAAAATCCCGAACTGGCGCCGTGGTTCTGCTTCAATGGCGCTGCGGCGTCATAACACAGGCCTTCAAAAATTCGAAGTGGTGCCATGGCTCTGTCCCTGGGCCCCCATGGCGCTGCTCGGCAAATTTACGATGTACGATTTTCTTCTCTGTAGCGCCATGGCTCGACTTTATGGCTCCTAGGCGCTTTGCTCTCGGGTTTGTAGTACTAGAGAACTTGTTTTTGGCGCCATGGCTCGACTTTATGGCGCCTAGGTGCTTTGCTCTCGGGTTTGTTGTACTGGAAAACTTGTTTTTCCTCTATCTTCGAAGCCTAGGTGCCCCTTTACAAAGCTTTAGCGCCCATTCTTCAATTTTGCTCCAAAAATTCCCAAAAATCACCAATGGACTCCCAACTGAAACAAACCTACAAAATAAATTGAAAACACATAAATAACTCCTAAAAACACCTAAAAACTCACAAAATAATGAGTTGGGAAAATGCAAATGTAAACACATATTCAACTCATCAAATTATATTCTTAAGTTTAGTAACACAGGAATGAGAATCAATTACCCTCAGTATTCCTACTTTACCTTTCAAATTACATTCCATTACAGCTTGGTAAAGGTGCCTCAATATGTACCAAGTGTAACGAAGTCATCTCTATTAGTGGGAATTCACGCGTATAGTAGACTCGAGTATATTTAGTTTTAGTTTTGACGATGTTTTTTTCCTTTGTCTTGGCACTCTTTTAGTATATCTCATTTGTAGTTTTTTCTATTTTTGGTCAATCTTTACGTAACTTAATTCTTCCACTCGTGAAACGTTGCAGGGGTATGAACTATCTCCATCACCATAAACCACATGCTATAATTCACAGAGATTTGACACCAAGGTACTTCAATCTGGATCTCTATATTAGCACTAACTAAATAACTTGTGAATCAAGCCATGTGTTTTTGTCTTGAGGTCTTTTAGATGCACTGTAATTATATTATGTGGGACTTACAGAAATGTGTTACAAGATGAAGCTGGGAGGCTTAAGGTTACTGATTTTGGACTAAGCAAGATTTATCAGGAGAAAGATCTAGGTTATAAGATGACTGGAAGAACGGGTTCATGTAAGAGATGTCTCACTAAAACTTCTATAATCAAGATGCTTTTGGTAGTTGCTCTAATTTTTCTTCATGAAATAATTTGCTAGACCGTTACATGGCACCTGAAGTTTATCGTCGCGAATTATACGGGAAAGCTGTTGATGTCTTCTCATTTGCTCTGATAGTGTATGAGGTAAATCTAAATGAAGCTCTAGAATCAGTTGATTTCATTGTTTTCCTTTGAAATATTTCTCACGTCAGTAAAAGTCGTAATATATAACTAATCTTTCAGAGTCTTCTACACGTAATTATTGAATTTAGGTTTTTGAGATTGACATATATGGTTATGTTTTTTCCTAGATGTTTCAAGGAAAACCATCAAATCTGGCAGAGGACGCAGAAAGTGTTGCAGATAAGCGAGCATATGAAGATTACCGACCACCTCTCTCGTCTTCCCTTTTCCCCGACCCGATTAAGGAGTGAGTTTTTGTTAGATAGAACTTTGTTATGTAGATTTGGAAAACCGAAAGATTATGCACGAACAGATGGTGTTGACTGTTGTGTCATTACACAAACGAAAGTATTCTCCTTGGTTTCTACTTATATTGCTCTTAAACAATGGCTCTGCTAAAATAAGCATGAGTTATGACTCTGAGAGAGATTACTTTAAGAAGGCATTAACAATATTGTCTCATGGCTACTCAACAGTTCCACTTCAAAGTGAAACGAATTATCCTCCCATGGTTGTATTTTTCAATAGCTAACATTTTATAACACAAACATGTTTGACAAATGTAACAATTATTTTTATTTAATTATTTTCATTTATTTTTTCATGCCAGGCTTCTTCGACAATGCTGGCACAAGAATCCAGATTCCCGACCTACATTTGAGCAGATAATTTCTGAGCTAGAGACCATCCAAGAGGAGTTCAAAAAGAAGTCAACAATGTCCTGTTGTAGTTGTGCCATTCTATGAATCTGATATTTTGTTAATGAATGTTTAATTTCTCTCTACGTGCATATGAAACAATCATTTGGCTATCTACACAAGTCTTGTTTGATAGAATAGAACATTCAGGAGGAGGAGGAGGAGGATATTCTATCCCGTAAGAACAATATTAATATTTTTGTATGACCTAAAGTTAGCATCAGCATTTAGAATGTCTGGGAGGAGGAGGAGGAGGTTCTATCCCGTAAGAACAATATTAGTATTTTTGTATGACCTAAAGTTAGCATCAGCATTTAGAATGTCTGGGTGGTATAGTTGGTTATCACGCTAGTCTCACACACTAGAGGTCCCCGGTTCTAACCCGGGCTCAGACACCTCTTGTCCTCTTTTTTTGGTTTCCATTTTGTTAAATAAAACGTATATATACATAAATTTTCTCATACATGGTATTTTCTTGTTTATATACAATGTTAATGTAGCATATTTACATCTCTCAGTGCTAAGGCCTAAGGGCACAAATGATCACAAGTTCTAGCTGAGTGCAAAATTCAAAAATCGTGTACGCAACAATGCGAAGTAGTGCCCATAATTTTACCCAAGTTTCCCATCTAACTACTATTTTGGCTGACCATTTGATGAATGATGCTCAAACTTTATCTTTCTTTTGGCATCAAGCAGCTTTTGAATTTGGTTTTCGGTCGCAGTGGCTTCGTGAATGTTCTTTTGAACCAATTTGCAGAGCTCGTCGAGGGCCAGCATCGGAAATGGCTCCTCTATAAGAACACCAACCTAATGAAATCAACTAGTACGTTTAGCACATTAGGAAATTCCAAAAATGCTACGGACTGTTTCATAGCTAAATTGGAGAAAAGAACAAAAGGACACGCTGTCTAGTATTTTACATGATTTACAAAAGATCATTAAAGGTACTAAATGTAAAGAAAAGAAAGCTAACATATTTTGAGACATAAATGCACTAGGGCAAGAGAGAAGGAACATACTTCTTCTATGCAGAACAAAGAGGCAGCACTGATAAAAGTAGCAGGAACGACAATCCAGTGGCATTCATCCCATAGTATGATAGGGAGAGTTAGATGCCAGAGAACGAGAAACCTCGATGTCAAGCGAGTATACGAGAGAGGGATCGGAGTGCCTATGAGTTGTTCACAAACACTAATTCCTTCATGAAAGCATGAGATTTTTGATTCCTGCGTAATGTGAGTTTGATAAGTGATCGTCAACTGAAAATATATGAAAAAAAATTTATCTTAACACTTGATTATATCAAAATTTCTTACAGAAAATGCAACCCCTAATGATTTTATTGCTCAATATAACCTCAAAGTGATGAAACAACAAAATACGCCACGGAATTGTTACAAAACCTTTCTCAACGATTTATTCAATACGAGACATCATAACTAGTACAGGAAAAGATTACCAACATATTTCTCCTTGATTCTTCCAATTTCAGCATCTTTAGGCTTTGTTTTATAAACTGAATAACGCAGCGGGGACGGTGTTTCGAGTTTAGAACGACCACCAGATCATCTACTTCAAGCAAGTTTTTGAGATCTGCTGCAACATCTGAGCCATAAATTACATGACACTGCAATTAAGAAGTTTACATCACCAACCATCACCAATGTATATTTGGTCAAGTACTAGTTCCAGCAAATGGAACGGAAACAAATTGGCTGTTCTTTAGCATGGAAAAATTATGAGAAAATATTCTGATAAAAAATGGATTTAACCAAAATTTTAGAGTATGCAAATTGACACCCAATGAACTTAATTATATTGAAATGTATTGAAATATTGACAATGATGTAAATCCATGCCATCTCAATTGTATTGATACCCTAAAAAAGTTATATTTATTTATTTAACACATAATAAAAAAATTCCACCTATGATAATTTCATTAAAATCTCTCATAAACCAAAACTTTTCCTTAATATCTTAAGAAACAATAGTATCACATCAGCAAAAAAATAAAAAAAAAAATAAAATAAAAATAATAAAAATAATAATAAAGAAACAATAATATCACTTATGCTGACCTTCCAATGTCCTTGATCCATATAGCTAGATCATAAACCAAACCCTTAAAAAAGAATCAAACTTGATTAAGGTCCATCCTTGTATTCCTCAACTAATTCCAAGCCAAAAGACTCATCCCAAAATACAAAAAACACAAAAAAAAAAAAAAGAAAAAAAAAGGAATTGAGACTGACCTTAAGGGCAACCGGAAATGCCATAATGTACTGCAAAAGAGCCTTCTTGATCGGCGCATCGCCGGAAGAACTCCCGACCCCTACAACCACCTGCCCGGCGAAATCATTCGCCCCAGCAATCACCTTAGTCCAAGCCTTCCTCCCTTCCTCGAACCGCGAATATGACGCCTCTGTTCTGAACACCAGCAGCAGCGCCAATGCCGGTGCCGTGAGCTGGTACGGCAGCGACGAGGCCCTCAAGACCGGGAAGAACTCCGGCAACCAGTCCGCCAAAACCGCGTAGTTGTAGCCCGCGATGGCCGCGGCAAACGACGTGAAGGCGATCACGGGCGGCACGAGTGAGAGGATCACCCGGGAGGACAGGCTGGACAGGAGGTGCCGGACGTGGCGGAGGGAGCTCCGGTGGTGGACCCACTTCTCATGGTTGTACAAGGTCCGGTTCTGTTTCATCCCGCGCTCCTTGACCCCGTCGGCCCAGTCGGGTACGACGCGGAGGATCGAGATGAGGCTTTTGGCGGGAGAAGGTGAAGATTTTGTGGGGTTTGAAGAGGAGAGGATTTTTAAGTAGAAGGTTTTGTTGGGTTTGGAGGGAAGGGTTGGATGTAAATTTGAAAAGGTTTTGGGGGTAAAGTTGGAAGAAAGGGAAAAGGCAGATGTTGGTTTTGTGGGATGTGCCATTTCTGGGGATTGGATTTGGGATTTTGGGTTTGGAAGGAGAGAGACAAAGAAGAGGGCATGTTAGAGAGTTTCAGAGTGAAGAAGAAAAGTGAAGAATGAGAGTCTAGTGTTGAAGAAAAGATTGGGAAAGTGGATTGGTTAGTTAAAAAACGGTTATTTGTGATGGAGGTTTTTACACGTTAAAATTTTTTTGGCATGGGATTGAGCATGCTAAATTACAGGAGATGGTGACCATTTTTGGTGACCGACACTTTTTGACCGTTCAATCCAACTTAATAATTTCTGGAAGAGATGGTCCCCACTCCTTAAGCCAAAGGATAATTTCTTTTTAAAAATATAAAATTAAAAATTTTAAAAAAATCCCTTTTTTTAAGGAGTATTAGTGAACTCATGATTTATATTCTTTACTCCCATTTGATTAATATAGTTATATATAAAAGGGTTCTAATAAAAAATAAAAGGTAAAAATTTTGACTCATGTACTCTAAGCGGTTATTTGTCTCCTTTTCTTTTTTTTTTTTTATGTTTTTTTTCCTTGAGATTGGTGGTGCAAAATTTGAAATTTTAATTATTAATATTGCATATTAAATAATTATAATAATCAGATAATTTTTATAGAAATTGTAGAAAATAATATTCTTACGAAACTAAATAAATACTAATATTTTAAGATATTTGAAATAAATAACATAAATAGCAAATTTAATAAATACGAATATATTTATTAGACGTAAATAAATAATTTACAAAGGAAATCTACTATGAACTGTTATTTACTCTCAATATTTTTAGAACATGCATTTACTTTAATTAATTATTGTAAAGATGTTTTTCTGTTCTTTCTCCTAAATTTTTGTTACCGAATCTTTGTGTTGATACTGCATGTTTTTAAATATCAAAGCACAACATAATCATATTAGAAAGATGTAATATGTGAACCTAACCAGATGAAGATTTAACGGTTTATTGTTGAATACTATCACCCTCATTATTTCATGATTATGAGCTCTAAACTAACATCTATACATATCCAGCATTCCCAAAAACAAATGTCGTCAGATCGTATGTGACCTCTTGCAGTAATTTTTTACGCCACCCAAAATTTTTTTTTTCCAACACCAATCCTTTTGTTCTTACCTTCTATCAAACACAAAACACACACACCATTCTTTCGTCATGACGTTTGAATGGTAAAATTGTCTTCTGCTTAGAATCATAAGTGAAAAATACTAATTATAGAGATTCATGAATCATATGCGAAAAATACTAATTATGAAAAAAGCGTCTTTTTCGAGATCGACCTATGATACCAACAACACTTCAGCACTTTCATAAACATCATTGGCAACAGATGCTTCACTATGGTTGCTTAATATCATGTGTATACTAGTTCACAACTTTGATGCGATAGCTGAGCTTGGCGTCCTAGCCTTCCTGAGGAGGCCTTGAGTCAGCGAGACGAGAAGCTGTTAAAAAAAAGTCGCATAACTCAAATGTCTTGGCATAAACTTGCAGCAATGGGGACAAGAACTTTAACAACGAAGATAAAGGTAAAGAGATGAAATGGGGTCATAATTAAATTTAATATTCTTTTTCGTTTTTACCTCTAGTTAAAATATTATTATTTTAGATTTTTTTTTTCTTGAAAATGAAAGAAGGTAAGAAGATTTCTCAACAAAAAAGATAATGATGCAGAGCTCGGGCATTGGAGCAGGGCGTTGTCACCTTCTTTATCGTGTTGTGTTTTGCTTAATTTTCAGTCGTTTGTTAACTTGCTTATTCTACCGATGTTTGTACTTTATTTCAAGCTCGCTTTACGTCATTTTGTGTAACGGCCTATGCACACTGAGAGTGCTTATAGAGAAAAGTCCCAAAACTTTTAGCGCAGTTGCTCACTTTGACCATTAACATTCACTTTTAGATATTACACTACTCCTAAGAGATGTAATCTAAATATAAATTAGAAAAAGAAAAGGAAATAAAAACTTTTAGAAATCAAAATTACAAATGTGAAACATACATTACTTCTTACTGTCACTGCAAGAAGAAAGTATTCATGCAAACTTTTGACAACCCATAAGTAATGGTTTGGATTATTAATAGTATTATTAACCCTACTCATGAAGAATGTTAACTCACTCTGGCCATTTTGTCCTCGAGCACCAACAACAGCGATTTTTATTGCCAAAAAAATGCTCCTTATGCTTAATATCATGTGCGCACTACTTTACAACTTTGATCCAATAGCTGAGGTTGGCTTTCTAACCTCCCTGAGGAGGCCTTCTTGAGTCAGCGAGACGACGAGCTGTTAGAAAGAGTCGCATAACTCAATGTCTCAATAAAAACATGCTTCAATGGACACACGAACTTAACAAAGATAAAAGGTAAAGAGATGAAAACAATGAAGATAAAAGGTAAAGAGATGAACAGGGATCATAGAAAAGGATGCCACGAGAACACTTATTGTGCTGATTTATGAACACATCAAGTAAACTCTTTACCTCTCCTTTTCTATTGAACATTTGGCCTAAAACAAAACCACGAGCGTTGTAGGCACTGGGACTAGATATCTGTTAAACACAACAAGTATTAGCATTTTTTTCAAAATCGTCAAAAAAAAAAAAATGAACCTTTTAGAATCTTACCACAAATAATATCCAATCATCAGCTTTCAGATTTCGATGGAACCACATCCTGAAGAAAAAGGAATTACCAAAAACACAAGATTATATGAGTATTGCCCAAAAATTATTTAAACTGAAAGGGAAAAGGCTTGAGCTTTTTCAATTTTAACTAGACAAATACAATCAATGAACATTCATAGTACTGTAAATTATAGCGCTGTTTTTAAAATAAATAAATAAATTAGAGCACAGACTTACGAGTGGTCCAAACTCACTGAACTTGTCTTCAAACCGCTTTTACGATGTGGATTCAAACTTACTGTAAGAAATATTAAATCTGATGTGTATGCTGCAACACATCTGCAAAGAAATCACACCAAAATAATTAAGAGATGCAAACGAAAATATAGTAAGAAGTGAGATTCATTATACGCTTCCAACATTTTCTGATAAAGACAACATAAGAAAGACGAAAGAATAAAGCAAGGGAAAGTGTAAATTTGACGAATCAATACCACAGGATTCATCGTTTCAGTTACTAAAGTTTGTTTTGTCTAAACAATGATAAAGAATAAAAAAATGAAAATATGGACACTGCTGAGAGTGAGTTGCATACCTATGCAAGGCCTGATCATCTGAAAGTTTTCCTTTCGCTCTAAACCAGTACCTCAAGCTGGAATACAGTTCATTTCATCTAGTGCTAGTTGAATAAGTAAATATATGCCGTTTTAAAACGAAAAATAAATAAAAAAGGAAAATCCTTATATTATTACATTATATGACAACCACGTGTGAGCTTCAGCCACAGATGAATTTATACAGCAAGATAAAGCAGACAAACCTTGGAGGAGATTTATTCTGATTCGTTCGGTTGCTAGGCTCACAAAAACGTATCTCTATTGGCCATGGGACAAAGTCTGAAGTTGCCACCTTGTTTCGATAAGTCCTGCATAAACCAATCCCAAGTATGAATAAAGAAAAACAGAATACAAGAGATCAATGAAAAACACAGAGACCTTTGAAAACCTGTAATACTACTGAAAATAGAAGTTTTAGCAGGTGAGAATACAGTTTTCAAAGATATAGTGATATTCTTCATAAATAATAAATATATAGCAAGTTTTTCTGGCCATGTATCTCGAAGGAAATTGATTATACGTTATAATTTACTTAAAAAAGTATACACGCTCTTTGAGACAAGATTGGATATTTCTGTTGCATGCGAAATCATAACTTGTTAGAATAGTTCTAAAGAATCTTATTCATCTTCTTAAGATATCAAACAATTGTAACCCTTCAAATTTAATAGCTCCCTTAGGGGTGGTAGAAGAATGTTGACCTCAATACCAAATATCTATAGCAACGGTAACAAAGATTTAAAATGTTACAATGTAGTGCAAGAAAACTACAAATGATCTATTTGTAAACACAAAAGCAAGAACGATCACTTATGAGCATAAATTAATGAATCATTAAAAAGAAAAATGCACCTTGGAAGAAGAGGATCAGTAAGCCGTCTATCCCGTAGCTCTTCCAAATTGAGAAGCTGTAATAAAATAAGAAATTCAAACATGAAAAAAAGACATAATAAACAGTTAAAAAAAGTATGAGCAAATGCTATAGCTTACTTTCTCTGGATCAGGAACAGATGGCATTGTTGCTTCCTGATGGTCAAAACCCTGTTCTTCTTTCTGTAAAATCAACTCAAGAAAATGTTAATAGAATTTTTTTTTTCTTTTTAAGTTTTGATGTTGCAATAGTATATTTGCAGCTAGCATTATAGCATGTATAAGCCAAGAAAGAAGACATTGTTATGAACTTGCAATCTAATAGCAAGTTAGCCAGGGCAAAAAGTGAACATAAGAGTTGGCAGTCAGTTAATGTGATAGGGTCCCGCCTAGACCTCCTATCAACTTTACTTATTCTAGAAGGGGTAAAAAGGGCATAGCTGGGGTGGAAGTCAAGGCAGGGGAGGGCAGTGCTGAGGTGGCAAATTCTGTTAGGGGATTCTATTAAAGAAGCTGGCTTGGGAAAGAATATAAGAGGAGGAGACAAGGAAGGAGGGGATATCGAGAAAATCTGTGGAGACTACTGGGTCAGAATTGGGAGGTGGAGGGTCCCCGAAATCCCTTGTTCTTTGTCTTTGTTTTCTTTGTTTTCTTTCGTTTTGTTCCTCCGGTGTAGAAGGAGAGCTCTTGCTGTAATGCTCGATTGAGCCGATCCCATCAATAATAGGATCCAGACCCTTTTTCTGGTTATTCACGCTGTTTCCCTTTTGTTTTAAATTCTTGTTCGGTTAAGTGGTTTTTCAGGTTCCTATCAACTTGGTATCAGAGCAGGACGATCCATGGCGAACCGTCCGATGGAACCACGGCCTGAGAATCGCGAGGACGCCGTGGAGAGACGCGTGGAGCACCTCAACGAGGCGGTGCGTCTTCTGGGTGCGATGGTCGATCCGGTACCAAGGTTGCAGGAGGATATGACGATCCTCACGGATCGGGTGGGCCGAGTTCAGGACGCGGCCCAACGCATGGAGGCGCTCCTAGGACAGCACTTCGGGGGGGAGCGTGGCCCTGATCCTCGTGGAGCAGCAAGAGAGAGAGAGAGCGTGGCCGTGAGTTTCGGCCAGAGTCGCCGGTGAGACGGAGGAGAGGGGAACACTGGGGAAAGAAGCTCGAGCTCCCGATTTTTCATGGTGAGGACCTTTACGGATGGTTGTTCAGGGCTGAGAGGTATTTCGTGATCAATGATGTCGAGGAGGAGGAGAAAGTGATGGCGGCGTCCGTTTGCTTAGAAGGGCGGGCTTTAGGGTGGTTCCAATGGGCGGAGACTCAGGAGCCGTTTGTCGGTTGGAGGGACTTTAGGGCCGCCCTGCTACATCGTTTCAGCCGAGCCCGAGAAGGAGATCCCACCGAGAGGCTGATGTCGCTGAAACAAAGGGGGCTGGTTGCAGAGTATCGGGACTCCTTCGAGACACTGGCGGCAGCTTTGAGAGGTGTGCCGGAGTCAATTTTCCGAGGAGCCTTCCTGAATGGGTTGAGGGAAGATATACAGGCCGAGGTGAAATTGCACAGGCTCATAAATTTACAAGAGGTAATGGACTTAGCCCAGCAGATAGAAGATAGGAATGAGGCCCAAGATAAGTTCAGGAAGCTAAAAATGGGCCGAGGGTGGAAACAGGAGGGAATGGGCCGAGGGTAATCTTTTACCGACCAGGCTAAGATTAATGGCCCCTATTTTGAGAGCTCCCTTCAGTCCAGTGTGTCGAGGGATTCTGGAACATTTCCCCGAGCAAAATCTGACTCGGCGCTCGCTCAAGCGTCGGCGGTCACCCGCGATTCTGGGTTCCGACGTCTCTCCGACGACGAGATCCAAGCACGGAGGGCCAAGGGGCTCTGTTTTCGGTGCGATGATAAGTTTGGGCCGGGGCATCGATGTAAGAACCGACAACTGCAAGTCCTCATGGTGGCAGGGGACGAGTCGGAGACGGAGGACGCGAAGGACGAGGAGGCAGAGCAACCGGTGGGGTTACCGGACGAGGCGGCGGATTTGTCCCTTAATTCCCTGCTAGGCTTCACCTCCTCCAATACCATGAAGGTCCTTGGGCGACTGGGTTCCTGAGAGGTGGTAGTCCTCATTGACAGTGGGGCATCGCATAGTTTTCTGTCCAAGAAGGTGGTGGACGAGTTGGCCCTGCCATGCGCTGAGACAAGGAGTTATGGGGTGCAGGTGGGAAATGGAATGAATTTTAGGCAGCAAGGGGTATGTAAGGGGGTACACTTGTGGGTGCATGGTTTCTGTATTGTGGAAGATTTTTTTCCTTTCGAGCTAGGAAGCGCCGACGTGGTTTTGGGTATAACGTGGCTTCGGCGTTTAGGTGAGGTTCGTGCCGATTGGTCCAAGTATACCTTGAAGTTCCTCGATAAGGCTGGTTGGGTATGATGGAAGGGGGACCCGTCCCTGAGTTGCACCCCGGTGAGTTTCCGGGCCTTATCTCGGTAGTTTACACCGACACATTTGGGCATACTTCTCGAGTTAAGTGCAGTCACGGCAGAAGAGGTGGCTGTCCCGGAGCTGCTACCCCCACCCGAGTTGGCTAACGTTTTGACCATTTATGAGGAGGTTTTCTCCTCACCGACCGGTCTGCCACCCCATCGAGCGGCGGACCACCGCATTGTGTTGAGGGAAGGGGCCATAGCACCGAGCATCCGCCCCTACCGTTATCCCCATGTCCAGAAAGGGGAAATCGAACGCTTGGTCTCAGAAATGCTCTCCTCCGGCATAATCCGGTCGAGCAGCAGTCCATATTCTAGTCCTGTTCTGTTGGTTAAGAAGCGGGACGGAAGCTGGAGGTTTTGTGTTGACTACTGCGCCCTAAACCAGCTCACAGTGCCCGACAAATTCCCCATTCCGATCATTGATGAGCTTTTGGATGAATTACATGGGGCGGCAGTATTTACAAAGCTCGACTTGAAAGCGGGATACCACCAAATCCGGGTTCACGACGGCAATGTGGAGAAAACAGCCTTCCGTACACACGATGGGCATTACGAGTTCCTCGTCATGCCCTTCGGGTTGACAAACGCTCCGGCCATGTTTCAATCTTTGATGAACACAGTGTTCCGCCCATACTTGCGTAAATTCGTCCTCGTTTTCTTTGATGACATATTAGCTTATAGTCGATCTTGGGAGGAACACAGGGCTCACCTTACTGCCGTGTTGGATATTCTGCGGAAGGAGCAACTCGTCGCCAATTGGAAAAAGTGTCTTCGGCCAGCCACAGTTGGAGTACCTCGGGCATGTCATTTCCAATGATGGCGTCTCGGCCGACCCGACCAAGATACTTGCGATACGCACATGGCCGAAGCCCAAGAACGTCCGCGCAGTTAGAGGATTTCTTGGCTTAACCGGCTACTATCGCAGGTTTGTACAGGGGTACGGGGCCCTTGCGCGGCCACTTACGGACCTCTTGAAGAAGGGTGCTTTCACATGGACCGACGCAGCCTCTCACGCCTTTGAGAAATTGAAAGTGGCCATGACCACTCTGCCGGTCTTGGCCATGCCAGACTTCTCCAACACGTTCGTGGTCGAGACGGACGTATCAGGGACCGGTCTTGGAGCTGTCCTGTTACAAGAAGGCCGCCCAATAGCGTATTTCAGCAAGGTGTTGTCACCTACCTCGCGGTTGAAGTCCATATATGAACAGGAACTCATGGCCGTTGTCCTAGCAGTCCAAAAGTGGCGCCACTATCTTCTTGGCCGCCACTTTGTGGTCCGCACGGACCAACAAAGTCTGCGCTTTCTACTGGATCAGCGTCTCCTTCCTCCAGAGCACCTCCGCTGGATTTCAAAATTGATGGAGTACGATTTTGAAGTCCAATATAAACCCGGCGCTTCCAACCGGGTTGCGGATGCCCTATCCTGCCGTGACGAGGCCCCTACGCCGGAACTGATGGCTTTCTCCATGCCGGGACTTGTTGACTTGGAGAAGGTCCGGCTTGAGCAGCTCGAGGACGTTACTTGTGCTTGCCTGGTTGCGCAATTACAGCTGCACAAGGAAGTTCCCCTCGGGTACAGCCTACAGAATGGTCTACTTTGCTTCCGGGGCAGGCTCGTTTTGCCACGCCAATCCACTTGGATTCCGCTGCTGTTATAGGAATTCCACGACTCGGTCATTGGGGGCCACTCGGGATTCTTCCGCACCTATAAGCGCGTGGCTGCGAACGTTTTCTGGCCAGGTATGAAAAAGACGATCCAGGATTATGTGGCTCACTGCGAGACATGTCAAAAGTCCAAATATGAAGCCCTCTCCCCGGCAGGATTGCTGCAGCCCCTGCCTATCCCAGATAAGGTTTGGGACGACATCTCCATGGACTTCATTTCAGGTTTGCCGAGGGTTAGAAGTGTGGACACAATTCTGGTAGTGGTGGATCGCCTCACAAAGTATGCTCATTTCTGCCCAATTGTTCACCCCATTACAGCCAAGCATGTTGCGGAGCTCTTCATTCGGGAAATAGTGCGCTTACACGGCATCCCTCGCTCCATAGTAAGTGATCGTGACCCTGTCTTTATGAGTTTATTTTGGCGGGAACTCTTCAAATAGCAGGGTACTCGGCTGCACCACAGTTCCTTGTATCACCCGGAAACCGACGGCCAAACTGAGGTCGTTAACCGGTGCCTGGAGACTTACTTGCGCTGTTTTGCTTCCGATAAACCGAAAGAGTGGGTGCAGTTCTTACCTTGGGCAGAATTCAAGTTTAACACAACTTATAACGCGTCGACTGCGCAAACGCCATTCCAAATTGTGTATGGACGGAACCCACCCACCTTGCTCCGCTTCCACGATGTGCCGACAGTTCAGCCTGCCACTCCTTCTGTGGTGGAAGATGTGAACCTTCAATTGCAACTCCGCAATCAAATGTTGGACACTCTCAAGGAACACTTGCTCGTGGCTCAGAATCGAATTAAAAAGTCGGCGGATGCTCGTCGTCGTGAGGTGATCTTTGCCCCAGGTGAACTTGCGTTACTCAAGCTCCAACCATATCGTTTGAAGTCTCCGCGCGGAAGGTGAATGAGAAACTTTCTCCTCGTTTTTAGCGGCCTTTCCCTGTTTTGGAGTGCATTGGACAGGTTGCTTATCGGCTCCAACTTCCAGCCACGGCTCGTATCCATCCCGTTTTCCATGTCTCCCAGTTGAAGAAGTTTCGCGGGGGCAAGTATAAAAGTCAGCCTCTGCCTCCCCAACTTTCGGAGGACTTGGAGCTGCTTGTGGAGCCTGCAGGCATTGTACGCGCTCGTACCATTCCCTTTGGCGGTCGGGATCGCGTGGAGGTCCTGGTGTGTTGGCAGGGTTTGCCCGATTGGGAAGCTACATGGGAACCGCTCGATGACATCCGTCAACAGTTTCCCCACCTCAACCTTGAGGACAAGGTTGCTCTCGAAGGATATTTGCAGCTAGCATTATAGCATGTATAAGCCAAGAAAGAAGACATTGTTATGAACTTGCAATCTAATAGCAAGTTAGCCAGGGCAAAAAGTGAACATAAGAGTTGGCAGGTAGGGGTATTGACAGGGTCCCGCCTAGACCTCCTATCAACTTTACTTATTCTAGAAGGGGTAAAAAGGGCATAGCTGGGGTGGAAGTCAAGGCAGGGGAGGGCAGTGCTGAGGTGGCAAATTCTGTTAGGGGATTCTATTAGAGAAGCTGGCTTGGGAAAGAATATAAGAGGAGGAAACAAGGAAGGAGGGGATATCGAGAAAATCTGTGGAGACTACTGGGTCAGAATTGGGAGGTGGAGGGTCCTCGAAATCCCTCGTTCTTTGTCTTTGTTTTCTTTCGTTTTGTTCCTCCGGTGTAGAAGGAGAGCTCTTGCTGTAATGCTCGATTGAGCCGATCCCATCAATAATAGGATCCAGACCCTTTTTCTGGTTATTCACGTTGTTTCCCTTTTGTTTTAAATTCTTGTTTGGTTAAGTGGTTTTTCAGGTTCCTATCATAATGTTTGACATGTACAAGCTTATATTGTACCACAATCTCACAAGTTCTATAACGGCTAGAATATTCCAAATGTGAACACGATGATGCAAATTAATTAGTCCTGCTCCTAAGCCTATCTAAATAAAGACAAATTTTGTGGACAATCTCACTGAGAATGTATTCATAACCATATAATTAAAAACAAATACAATTTCAATTAGAGTACATACTTGAAATGAAGCAAGCAATGTGAAGATGACATTTCCTTTCTGTATTGCATCTACTCTTCGGGTAGCGAAACTTTTCCCATCACGTAAACGGTCTACTTGATATATAATAGGAACTGCAGAAGTAAATTCACGTACATCTATAAGTGAGTTTCTGAATTTACTTGTAATGTTTTGGCAAAATGATATTGGAAGCCAATTGAAACGTAATGGGAAAAAAATATGTTTATACCATACATTCATGCAGGTCAAACTTTAAAGGTTCGCAAATATTGAACAGGAAGCAGCTAGGTTACGTGGTCATCTCATACAATTGATTAATGGACATTTCTGGCAATCAACTAACCAACACAGGATAGATAATTATCTCTAAGATTCTATGTTACACGCGGTCATTGAGTCACCTGCTTTACAACCTCTCTTCTCTTTGTATCTTATCTTAGTAAATACACACAAAACAAGGATAATGGATCACGAAAATAGAAGACTTCATGACAATTCCTTAAAGTTCTAGAGATTATACATCCAGCCATAAATTGCAAGTGGAGGATCCTACTTGAGAGATAAAATTGAAAATTATAAAAACATGCTCATAAAAAAACAAATGATAAAAAGAAGGATTTCCAGCACTAAATTCCAAGAGGTAACCTTTTATATAATAGCATCCACTATCATGTAGGCAATACAATAACTACAGATAAAACAATATTTAAACTCTACAAAGAAAATTATCATGAGAAAGCCTGATAATAATGTACTTACTATCAAAATCTCCAACAAGAAGGAAATATACATGCAAACTATGGACAACCTTAAGACAATCAACAGTCTTTGATGCTGCTGCCAGTGCCTGCAAATGCCAGATCATATTAAATGATTTCCATCAAAATTTGCGTCTGGCTATAGCACTTGAGACTAAATGGAGAGTAAAGTACACCGAACATATTATAAAGTGGAAATGAACAATCTAACAAACATGATGGTTAAAAATGGAGATATACCTTTTAAATGATTTGCAAACAGAAAATGAAAACAGAACCAAAAAAAAAAGAAAAAGGGAGGTTAACAAAGGTCTCTGTCATGGCTATGATGAAGGCAATTCGATTGGAAAGAAAGAAACTAGGATACCTGAAGTAGCTTTACGCATCCCCTAAAGATTTAAAAACTAGTTTCTATCCTTTTAGTTAAAAGAATTGTGTAGCATCATGATATAGCTTTCTCTTTACCTCTACTGCTCCGCTTTTATAATTTTGCAACTCTTATAACTTCTTTGATTGTATACTACTTCTTATCAAGGGGGAGGATGGCAAAGATCCCCCGACCACATATCCAAATTTCTATCAAGTGATAGTTGGATGACAAAAGAGAAGATTGTTAGGATTTAGCAATCCATTTTCCATTGTCTCAGGAATTATTTGATAGAGCAGAGTAATTCTCCCACAGAAACGAATCAAGAAGAATGAAAGATGGAATCTTTATTGATTAACAAAATGAATTACAGACTAAGCTATTGACAAACTATCTCTCCCCTTGCTCAGCCTCAGCCAAGTCTTCCTTTACAACTCCAGTAATTTCCTAACTCCCTCTACCTTACACACGTTAAGCCACATGTCACCCACCGCACTATACAGAAACTCAATTAACTAACACTAACAATTCTATTAACTCCACGTCACCCCTTATTTCCCCTCCTCACATAAACCTTTCTAAGTAACGGTTTATCACCCTTATCATTATTCAAATAACTTCTCAATCAAAATCAAGTACCATAATCAAACATACGAACCATTTATACTCCTTCCCTCCTTTTCGATAAAAAAGAACGTTAAGACATTGAGAAAGTAAGTTAGGCAAAATGGCTTATACAAGGGATCATGATACTTCTAAATCATTTTTTACAGTATAATAACCACAAATTTGATAGAACATTGCAGTGGTACAAAACGAAAGAAAAAAAGAGAAAGTTACGTTCTTCATGCCTGTCCAACTAACTGTCCTCCAAAAACCTTTCCAAATTTTGGTGCATCTGGCAAAGTGATCCCCTTGAATATATTTACCTTCAAAGCAAACACACAATTGAATCTTAGCATGTACAAAAATTAACATCTTTTACATGGTCACGTTAGGGCATCAAATAACCTCACATCAAAAATAAAGGAGAAAGCAAATTATCAATCTTCAAAATGGCAATTCAATACAATTCCTGTGCATAAAGTCAGAGGCATGCTTCAGACATATTAAAATGAATTCACCAATCAATAGGGAGTAGCAAACCATCAATGGAGGCATGCTAATGATTTGTAATTCTACAGTTGCAATCACAATAACTAAATAAGGTTCCGAAAAGTTACGAAAAAGGGTTTCAAAATGAAGTTCTTAGGAGCCTACAAAACTGTGCACAGGGTTTAGGAGAGAAACCGGAAAACACTACACTTTCTTATTAATTAGAAAACGTATGTTACAGCCCTATATATATAGCTTTCAAGACTAACTAAATCTCACTATTCTAGGAAAAGAAAAGAAATCAAATCAGGAGGATCTCGTGGGAGATCTCAACTAATTTAAAATATAAAGTCAAACCAAATAATATCTAATCAGCCCTAATCCCCTAGAATCCGGGATACCCTGATTTTCTACACTCCCCCTCAAGCTGGACTAAAAACATTAAACATTCCCAGCTTGTCAACTAATTTCTCGAACATGGGTCTTCCAAGTCCCTTGGTCAGCAAATCAGCTACTTGGTCTGTAGTGGAAACATAAGTCATGCAAATGATTCCTTCCTGAATCTTCTCTTTGATAAAGTGCCGGTCAACTTCGACATGTTTAGTTCGGTCATGCTGAACTGGGTTGTGAGAGATGTGGATAGCAGCTTTGTTATTACAATAAATCTTTAAAGGTTTACTGTACACGATTTTGAGTTCCTCCAGTAACATTTTCAGCCACAAAAGTTCACAAATTCCATGTGCTACTGCTCTAAACTCTGCTTCTGCACTACTTCTAGCCACCACTGTTTGTTTCTTGCTTCTCCAAGTTACTAAGTTACCCCACACAAAGGTGCAATACCCTGAGGTTGACCTCCGATCACTAATAGAACCTGCTCAGTTAGCATCTGTGAAAGCTTCTACACTCCTTGCTTCATTTTTCTTGAAAAATAAACCTCTTCCAGGAGTCCCTTTGAGATATTACAGAATCTGATATACTGCTTCCATATGCTCCTCGTATGGTGCTTGCATGAACTGACTCACAACACTAACGGCATATGCTATATCTGGCTTCATATGAGAGAGATAGATAAGTCTTCCAACTAAACGCTGATATCTTCCTTTATCCACTGGGCTGCTGGTCGCTTGTCCTCCTAGCTTGATGTTAGGATCCATTGGTGTGTCAACCAGTTTACATCCTAACATTCTCGTTTCCTTTAGAAGATCCAAGGTGTATTTTCTTTGGGAAACAGAAATCCCACTTCGGTTTCTTGCAATTTCCATCCCAAGGAAATATCTCATAGCTCCTAAGTCTTTGATCTCGAATTCAATTGCAAGTTTCTTCTTTAAGTCTTCCATCTCCACCTCACCATCTCTTGTCAGTATGATATCATCAACATAAACAATAAGGATTGTAATCTTACCATCCTTATGTTTGTGGAATAAGGTGTGATCCGTTTGAGCCTGTTTGTATCCCAGTTGTTTGATTGCATTTGAGAATCTGTCGAACCACGTCCTCAGAGACTGCTTGAGTCCGTAGAGAGATTTTTTTTAGCTTGCAAACCTCTCTGTCTCTGGTTTCATCAAATCCAGGTGGTAAATCCATATAGACTTCTTCCTCCAAATCTCCGTTAAGGAATGCATTTTTAACATCAAGTTGCTGAAGTTTCCAATCCAAGTTTGCCGCCATGGATAACAGTACTCGGATTGTGTTCAATTTGGCAACGGCAGCAAATGTTTCTTGATAATCGACGCCATAGGTTTGAGTAAAGCCTTTTGCCACTAACCTGACTTTGTAGCGTTCAATGGATCCATCCGAGTTGTATTTAATGGTGAACACCCATTTACATCCTACCGATTTCTTTCCTTTGGGTTTCTCTATCACCTCCCATGTATCATTTCTTTCTAGGGCCTTCATTTCCTCCATTACTGCCTTTCTCCATTCTAGAATTTTCAAAGCCTCATGCACGGTTTTTGGAACCTCCATGGCTGAAAGATTAGCTACAAAATGTCAAAATTTTGATGGCAAGTGATCATAGGAGACAAAATTAGATATTGGATATTGGGTACATGATTTGACACCTTTTCTCATTGCTATGGGAACATCAAGATCTTTTGTTTCTGAGCTAGGATTTAAAGGCTGTGTACCTGAAGGCGGGTTGGAGTCTTGACCCTGCTGAAGAATCACGGGATTTTCCACTCTTTTTGAATTCTTTTTCCGTGAATATACCAGCAATTCCTTTTGATCCTGCTCCTGTAATTCTCCCCCTGTCGTTGGGTTTGTTTCAATGTTTGAGGGCACCATTGGTTCGGGCTCGGAAAGACTTTGATATGGAAGTGGGTTTGAGAGTGAATTTGGCAGCGGAATTTGGTCTTGGGTGAAGGTTAGGTTCGGACTCTCTTGAGGTAATGTTTGGGGTAATGGCAGATTTGTGAAGGGATTTGTTGGATAATCATATGCTATTATTTCCCAAAAATTATCTTCACTAGATGATTGCTCCCCCTGAAGAGGATTTTTGGTATAATAAGGCTGATTTTCGAAAAAGGTGACATCCATAGACACAAAGTATCTCCTCTTTCTGGACTATAACACTTATACCCTTTTTGTGTTGTTGAGTAACCGAGAAAGATGCACTTAAGTGCTTTGGGATCTAGCTTGCTGCATGTTGGGTCATGAATATGGACGAATGAGGTGCAACCAAAAATTTTAAAAGGTAGGGATGTGGATTTTCTAATTTGAGGATAGGATTCATGAAAGGTATTCAGAGGGGTTTGAAATTGTAGAACCCTGGTAGGCTTACGATTGATCAAATAACAGGAAGTGAGAACTGCATCCCCCCAAAAAAACTTAGGAACATTTGTAGTGAACATGAGTGACCTTGCTACCTCAAGTAAGTGTCTATTTTTTCTTTCAGCTATCCCATTTTGTTGAGGTGTGGAAACACAAGAGCTTTGGTGTATTATCCCATTCTGTAAGAAATAATCTCCTAGGATCGTCTCAAAATATTCCCTTCCATTATCAGAACGAATCATTTGGATATTGCTATTGTATTGGTTTTGAACCATGGAATGGAAATTTTTGAAGGTTTGTGCAGCTTCAGATTTTTCTTTTAGGAGGTATACCCAACAAATTCGTGTGTGGTCATCAATAAATGTAATGAACTATTTTTTTCCTGTTACACTCTTAACCCTTGATGCACCCCAAATGTCACTATGAATTAATGAAAAAGGTTTAGACGCTTAATATGGATGTGGATTAAAGGAAGAACGTTGGTGTTTTGCAAGTTGACAAATTTCACATTGAAAGGAATCTTTATTGCAAACCAAAGTAGGAAACAAATGTTTTAAATAAGAAAAACTAGGGTGGCCTAGCCTATGGTGCCACAACATTATTTTTTTGTTTTCTAGACAAAGATGAGGAATTACAACTAGCATGTTGAGAAGGTATATTCACGGAAACATCCTTCTCCAAGTAGTACAAGCCCCCGTGTTCTTTAGCACTGCCAATCTTCCTCCCCGAAGTCAAGTCCTGAAATATGCATACAGATTGTGAGAAATTCGCATCACAATTAATATCCTTTGTCAATTTGCTAATAGAAAGGAGATTGCAGGTTAATTTTGGGACATGGAGGACATCTTTTAGACATATGTGTGAGTCTATTTTAATGTTGCCAACTCCTGCAATTGTTGAGAGAGTTCCATCGGCAATCTTGATTTTAAGATTTCCTGGACTAGGAGCATAAGAGGAGAAAAGTTTTGCACAACCTGTCATATGATCTGTTGCGTCAGAGTCAACAATCCATGGTTCTTGATCTCTGGAGACACTACTGAGAGCAGTCGAGAAGGTACCTTTCTGGGCTATTAGAGACTTGGTGTTAGAGGGTTGTGCTAGAGAATGGAGCTTGTAGAGTTGTTCCATTTGTTCTTTAGTGAGGGACACATTCATGCGGTTGCTTTCCTCCTTTACACCTTCGGTCGTGGCTTGAAACCCCTTTGAGTCTCGGTTGTTTCCACGATTTTCCTTCCAATTTTCTGGTTTTCCATGTAATTTCCAGCAGTTGTCTCGGGTGTGGTGTGGTTTTTTGCAATGATCACACCACAAATTTCCTCCTTTTCTGGAATCCTTAGTATCTGTCCAAGTGTCCGAACCACGGGCAGCCAATGCGGAATTTTCTGTCGTGGGCAGCGGTTTGGAGTCTCCAAGCATCACTCTTTTCCGACTTTCCTCTCTCCTAACTTCAGAGAAAATCTTCCCGATCGCAGGTAATGGCCGAATCCCGAGAAGGCGTCCACGAACCTCATCCAACTCCTTGTTTAATCCGGCCAAAAAATCATAAACTTGATCCTTGTCCGTCATCTTCCTGTAAGTCATACTATCTTCCATACAGTACCACTTACAATCATTGAGCATGTCCATCTCTTTCCAAAGCCTTGTCAATGAGTTGTAATATTGTGTTACATCCAAATCTCCTTGTTTAAGATTTCTAGCCTTGTTCCTTAATTCAAACGTCTGGGCTGAATTCTCAAGATCAGAGAAGGCGAGATTCAAGGAATCCCAAAGTTCAGTCGCAGTGGAACAATACATATAGGTCTCGGCGATATCATCCTCCATTGAATTGATTAACCATGCCATAACAATTGAATTATGAGCATTCCAGGTTTGGAATGTCGGATCATCCTCGCTTGGCCTCTTGGTTGTGCCGTCGATGTATCCTAGCTTCCCTCGACCACAGATCACCCACTTAACTGAGCGCGACCACTGAAAATAGTTCTTGCTATTGAGTTTTTGTGAGGTGATTTGGAGGGATGAATTTTCGGTAAATGTAGTGGGAGCAATTGTAGGGATCAGCTGAGAAGTTCCGCTTGAAACCTCAGAGCTATCGCCCCTGCTTGCTCTAGTCATGGCCATTTTGACCATCGTTCCTCTCAACTAAAGTCCCGCTCTGATACCATGTGCGCAGGGTTTAGGAAGGAAACCGGAAAACACTACACTTTCTTATTAATTAGAAAGCGTATGTTACAGCCCTATATATACAGCTTTCAAGACTAACTAAATCTCACTATTCTAGGAAAAGAAAAGAAATCAAATCAGGAGGATCTCATGGGAGATCTCAACTAATTTAAAATATAAAGTCAAACCAAATAATATCTAATCAGCCCTAATCCCCTAGAATCCGGGATACCCTGATTTTCTACAACTGAAATCAAGGATCTATTTCCAAGCATAAGACTGGATCTCTCTTCCACAAATATTAAAGAAACCATACTTCCATTGGCTCCAAATGCAGTATACTCTCAACAAGAGAGCATTGCCCAAGTGTTGAATCGGCACTCCAGATTGATTTTGGCTGCAGCAGAGTACAATGTTCAAGAGGTAAAACCAAGCATGTGAGCTGCAAAAAAAGAAACGACATATCAAAAAATCACAACTAACATCAACATCAAAACCTTAAGAAGTAAATCTTCCAATCTTAAACCACAACCACATCTCATCAATCACGAGTACGGAGTACCTTAGATAAAGCAATCACATCGGCTTGATGAGCAAACGATGATGAAACTGCAAAAGTAAGTCCACATTAGGAGATTCATCCACGACATCGAAAAATAACAACAAAAATTCTCATATAAACATACATCTGAAGCAACAGAAAATCAAGCCAAAATATTCCTTAAAAAGAAACAAATAATATAAGGTCCCGTTTATTTTGCTAATTTGAATCACAACTCAAGTTTTTACTTGAGTGTTTTCTCTCACAAAAAATCAAATTCAACTTTTTCGCCTACAATGTTTTCTTCCACATATATTAACTTTTTAATCAAGTTCTCAACTCAAAGAGAACTTGAATAAGCTAAACGAACGAGCCCTAAATTGGAAAAAAGAAAATACAAAGCCTCTCACCATAACCAAAATAGTCATAACGTTTCAATTGAAACTCGGTACGATTTTCGGCACCAGAATCAACAGAACCGCTAACCTCCGCCTGTAAAACCACGATCATATACAATTAAGCGTATGATTTTAAGAATATGTAATATTCATTTTAGAAAAAAAAAATGTAAAATGAAGAACACTTTTGCAATCAAATTGAAAGCAAGCAAACCTCTCCTTCCCACACGAAGTAAACTCCATCGCCATTTTGGCCCTCGCGGACAACATGCTCTCCACGATCTGCAGCAAAAGATATCACAAAAATTAGGCTTACTCTTTCAGTACTAAACAATTATAACTTCAATTTTTCTCGATTATTGATTTTTAATCTGCAGAAAACTCAAGAAATTGACCGTAGTGTTTGACGACAACCAATTCAGCAATTCTCTTGAGCGAGGAGCCGGGTAACTTCTGCAGCAAAGGAACGCATCCGAGGAACTCAATAACTGCAAAAATCAGAAACAACTTGGAATCAGAATTTTCCTTTTCTTCTAGATTTTCTAGGCGACCAAACAAGGAGAAGCTCTGTTTTTTGCAGGTCACCTGATTCGGAGTCCATATTGGAGGAGAAAAACTACGTCGGCGCCGGTCGAAAAGGTTATCGCTTTTTAACAATTTGGAAGATGATTATCGTATTCGTCTAATTGTTTTACGTTCAACATACGCAGAAAAGAAGAGCCATGTTTTTTTCAACAAAAGGCGTCTCTTCTGTAGGATAATGACCTATCAGCATTTTATTGTCAGTCACTCAGATTTGAATTAAGCGCATGTTTAGGAAAAAGTAAAAAGCGATTTCTTTTTCTATTTAATAATGTATTTGCTAAGAAAATCAGTAATTTAATGGGCCTATAAATATAAAAAATGAAAAAAAAAGAATATTAATCTTTACGTATCCTTATCTGCTCTCAATAAATTATTATACATTTAATATTTATTTAATTGTATAAAATAATATTTTAATGATTATATTCATAATATTACTGTCTCTAATTATAAGACTATTACGCCATTTAATTAAACACGTGAACATATGAAAGTAGTACTTTACTTCAACGATAAAAAACAGGTTGAGACGGAGAAAAAGAGCTGGATCTGGTGCATGGAGCGTAAGTGCTGACGTTATTGTATTGATTGCCAATACGGTTGGTTTATTGTTGTCGGACTAAGGAAGGAACTAGGAAGTGTGCGCTGGATTGAATGATTGGTTTAGGACGAAGATTTTTTTTATTATTATCATTATTTGTTTTGAATATAATGATTGACGTTTTGTCATGTTTGTCGACTGGAAGGATTTTAGCAGCACGTGAGTATAGTTTTTTTTTTTTTTTTTTTAACTTTTTCTTTTTCCAGTCTTCACAATTTGCCACATGTAATTTGTTTTAAAGGGTATTAATATTATTAGTCACTAATTATTAGCATGACAATTTAATTCCTAGATTTTTAATATATTCCTCTCTAAATTTTTATTTTTAACAGTTTTGATCCTTAACACTAAAAGTAATAAATAATTTCTAAAACTTTAATATAGATTATACTCTAACAACTTAATTTTACATAAATAATTACATTAAGGGAAAAATACTTTTCCCTAAAAAAAGTGCAAAATATATACTCTCAATAGATTTTAACAATAGCAAAAAGAACATTTTACACATAATATTAGGGTTATGCATAGGAGATCACACGTCATCAAATTAGATCATTTCGACGATTTTTGGTCGTTGATTTGGTTCCACGAGCAACAATTTATTTACAGTTTTAGACTCGTGTGAACGGTTAAAAAAGAGTTCGATTTGTAAAATTTGAAAAATGATCTAATCTGGTCCATTTAGATTTATATGGTCTTGTTTGGTTCGTCATTTGAACTGTAGTGATTTGATTTGAATTGTGATTCAAAGTATTTGGATATATAAAAAAATTATAATTTAAAATGGGAATAAAGTCTAAACTGTGTTTGGATAAAATACTGACAACTGTTTTGTAACCAATTTTAAAAAACCTCATTGTAAATGACATATTTAAAGATGCAATATGTATGGTGATTTGTTCCTCTCTTAGTTATGAACGTATTAAAAAAATCTCAATCAGAATTGAAACGAAGAAGTTTTGAAGAGAGAGAGAGAGAGAGAGAAAATCATTTTTAAACTTGAAGTTGAAAAGAGATAAAAAGTAAAAAGCAAATATAGTTTTAATTCAGATTCTTGAATTTAGGAGGAAGTCAATTCTATAATCAATAGTTTGAATTGAAGTTAATAGTTTGAATTGTTCTTATTTAGTTCTCTACCAAACATCAATTTGAATCTTAAACTATAATTTGAATTTAATTTTTTAGGTTCAAACGAGCGTGAGATCCGCGCGTTGCTGCGGAATGCAGTATTATATTATATGATAGTTGTATTTAAAATATATTTATATATATACATGTATTATATTGTATTATATGATAGATATAAAATTTGTACAAACATATTTATATAGACATATATAGTGTTATTATTTATAATATTTATATATATACATAATGTAAAGAATAAAAAACAATGTTGTTGTGGTCCCTGAGCATTTCATTTCTTTCAACTGCAAGTATAAAAATGGGAAAAATGGTTGTAAATATAAGTGTTAAGAGAAATAAAGATGGTTAAATTATATAGTATGAAATAAATATTATAAAAATATTATATTACCTTGTTCTTGGACGTTTCGCAGATTGTCTTGTTGTTCTTGATTCAGGACTGAAAAAATGGAATAATTTGTAGATATGTTTTTAAATAAATTGATAATATTTGTTGTGTTGAATGTGGTTTACCTTGTGCCAGGTTTTTTTGGTGTTGGAGTGTGTGGATCAAATGTGGTCGGTGTTGATAGCTATGATGAGGGTATTGCCTGTGGGCTGAAAGATGAGAAGATTTTTTAAAATTGTGATTAATATAATATAAATGTTATTTATCTATAGTTGATAAAAAATTTTAAAAATATTATTTACCTTTGTGGTTATTCTGTTCCTGTAGTTAACTGTTTTGGTGGCGATGATGGAACATGGATGTCCTCAAATATTTTGAAAATTAATGTACTCATTTGGGTGCCTCGTTGTTGAAAGAAGACTTGGAAGATTTTTGATTGTCCTCGGATATGATCGATAGCTGGTGGTATTATAAATGGATCGGTAAAGCCTTCGTCAATTGTTAGTGCAGAACATGGTTTTTTTATTAATGCCTGAGCGGTTCTGTCAAAAATGATAACTTCTATGTCTCCAGTATGATCTTCAATTTGAATTGTTAATCTATACCCGTAACGTACATATATATATTTTAATGTTATTAATTTTTTGTTAAAGTAAATAAAGATATATAATAAATAAAAATGGTACGGTAATAAATTTAATTACCATGGAGATGGCGTTGACTTTATATGGCTATGACTGTCACACCACCAACCTATTCTTGCTTGTTTTAATTGTCGATAACATCTGGGGCAAGAATTGTAGAAACATCATTAAGATGTTGAAAAGTTTACTATGGTCGCTCTTACAGTGAATTTTCCACCCTGCATAAAAGATAGAATATTGTGGTTTTAAATTGTTTACTAAGTGTAGTACAAAAAATGATAAGAAAGTTAATAGTACTAACCAGATTATTTTGTGCATCCAATGTTTTGAGTTCGTTTATTATTCTTCTGTTTGCTGATATTTGTTCTTCAATTGTTTGGACGGGTGTTTTTGGTGGTGGTAGGAATTCAATTTGTTGATTTTGATGGGAAAATCTGATGAAAATACGAATAGGTTAAGGAAGATATAAATAAAATGTATGAATATCTATTATGATAAATTTATTAGAATATATTTTTTTTATATATATGTGTTTACCTTGTCTTTAACGTTGTTGTTTCTGGGATGTCTGGATCAATATAGAAGATTGTTGCTGATGTACTCGAAACATATGAGTTACCTTGAAATATAATAGAGTAAATAATAAATATATGCTATATTTTTTTATATATGTATATAAAAATGTTATAATAAATTAATGTTAAAAATACCTAGATACTGCTTTGTTAACATTGCTGAGAAAACTGCCACATAGGCTTTATAATAAATCAGTGTTTTAAGTACATTCTCATCAAATTGATCGGCTTTATGTCCCTATAGGCTTACCTGTAGTTGTTCATTTCTGTAGAAAAAATGTAGTTTATAAAAATGAATAATAAAATTGAATGATAAAAGTGAGAAAATATTGTATTCATGTTAAATTGTTGTAATGAATAGTAAATGTGAGGGAAAAAAGCATGAAATTATTGTACCTGATGTTTTGTATCGTTATGATCGCCGTGTTGTTGGTCTAGTGCTGACATGTGTATGTTCGAGTGCCTGGACACTTGTTAATACTCCAATAACATCTAATTTTATAAATAAATAGGGAAATTTTGTAAATAAATTTTCAAGAAATATTTATAATAATAATAAAATAAGTTAAGTAAGATATATTACCTGTTAATATCTCAGTATTATTTATTCTTTGATATAGCTGGTCGAATTCTATGAAGTAGAATTTGTGAAATGGGATGTGTGGTGCGTCTTCCATAATTGGAGTAAAGGATGTTGCTCGTGCAAATTGGATCATAGCACTGTGTGGAACGATTTTGTATGTTGATTTATTTTCAGTAACATAGAAGTTACTAATATTGTATATATTGCCTTGTTCAATTTTTTGGGAAATATAGTCCGAATCTCATGCTCGAATTGTTCCCTGTATTGCTTCATGCTGTAAATAAATAATAAGAATAGAAATTTATTCATTCTTAACAAATATTATATAAAATAATATGTAATATAATATTTTAAAATTTTAGTACCTCTTCATCAACCAGGATATAGTAAAGGCTTATCAAGCGTCCTGTGACAAAATCGTTGTTTGTCCATATTCTGCATACTCATGCTTGTATTGTTTCATACACTTCATTTGGTTTTAGTGCACGAATAGGTGTTGTCATTTTTTGTTAATCCTGAAAAAAGCAAATAAGTTGTTGTTATAATGATAAATATTTTTATTGAGTTTATTGTTAAAAATGTTGTACTAAAAAAATTTTAATGTTATGAAGAATATATTGTTAAAGTAAATAAAGATATATAATAAATAAAAATGGTATGGTAATAAATTTAATTACCATGGAGATGGCGTTGACTTTATATGGCCATGATTGTCGCACCACCAACCTATTCTTGCCTGTTTTAATTGTCGATAACATCTGGGGCAAGAATTATAGAACCATCCTTGAGATGTTGAAAAGTTTACTATGGTCGCTCTTACAGTGAATTTTCCACCCTGCATAAAAGATAGAATATTGTGGTTTTAAATTGTTTACTAAGTATGATAAGTCTTGTTCCATTGCATAGTCCAATAGATTGATTTAGGTTTCTTAGAAGCATTATTGGAGTTCTGAGTTTAAGATTTAGTTCATGTGGTGGTAAACCGTTGAAATTTAAATTGTGTAAAAATTCTTGAGGATATAAGAGATTTAGTTCTTCTATGTTTTCTGATGAAGGCAGTATTGTATCATAACTATAATAAGTTTTTACCTCATTAGGTACTAAGGATAATATATAATTATTTATATCGTTAGCAGTTTTATTTTTCAGTGTTACAATTGCGCGCTGTTTTAGGTACTCAATGTTATTAAAATTGTTGTTGAAATTATCGTA